TTTTTTTTTTTTTTTTTTTAAAGCCCCTAAACCTTACAGTTGCTTCTTCTAGAGGGCTAGAAGAGAAACTTTCAAATCAGCCACAGCAAGTTAGCAGTACTGCTGGAAAGCTGAAGAGGGTCTCAGGCCAGATGTCTGGCTTTTGTTCTAGCCTAAGACACAAGTTCCTTGAATAAAGAGAGTTTTTAGGGGCCCATTGGGTTTTGTGGGCTTCACTGTAGTCAGGGTGCCCAGACTGAGGTCTTAAAGGGGGAATGCCTTTTTATCCAGCCAGTCTGCGACCTCTAGTTTTTCCTGATTCTGGACTGGGTCAAGGTTGAAAAGGGAGAAAGGCAGGCTGCTTCTCCTAGTCCGGTAAGGCTCTCTTCTTAGATGACAAGGGTATATGGAGAGAAGTGCACAAAAGAGGGAGGCACTGAGGATCCTGAGGACTCTGGAGAAACTGGATTCCTTTCCCAGCCTACAAGGTAGCATTCCATGCATGAGGTGTACTAGACTGGGTGGATTTTGTAAATTAACTATTCAGCCTCCCCACCCCCCAGAAAAGGGCCAGTAAAGAAATTATTTTTGGTTATATTTTTAATGATGTATTTGTTACAGAAATGCAAATGAGAAACCAGAAAAGGGAGCTGTTAGGGAAGGACTTAAAGGGTCCTTCCAGGTTTGACTTCATGATGCAAGGAATTCAAGCTTCCACAGTAGCTCTGCGCCAATGTTTGACTACAGGAAAAGCAATTTTGCAAAAGGATCAAAGATGGGTGTGTATGTAGGATTTGTAGTCATTTCTGGGAAGTGAAAGGTCTCTGGTCCTTTTAACCTAGAAACAGGTTTTCTGTTTAATGGGTGAGCAGTAATTGTGTGGAAGAGGCCAAATGCGTGCCCCTCAGGTAAACCAGTGCACTCTTCACTTTAACAATGTAACACCAGGGTGGTGTGAAGAGGGGCAGGATATGGATGCAATTTTGAAAATAGGCAAATATTTGAGGGTAACTACAATACATTGAATACGTATTGGGAAATTCTTGGTTTTCAGCAAATGGCTGAGTTTGTGGTTAGTGATTAGAAAGCTGTATGAAATGAAGTGTTGCTTCATTGAAATGCTCTTCCCCCATCCCTGCCATATTTGAATGTATCATTAACCCCACCTATTGTAATGACTTTGCTGTGCTTCAGCTGGTTGCCTCAACAGTATTTCCTTATCTGTGCCAGATGTGCTCACATCTGTGAGATGTGAGATAGGTCCCAGACACCATGTCTTCCCTTCTGATAAGAAGTATTAGAGCTGGGTAAAGATCCCAATTTCAACCAAGCCCACAGGCCCAAAGAAATCCAACTGAAAATGTACAGGGCAGTGTTTTTGACATCAAAACTTTCCTAAGGAAGGCACAAACTAGCCTTCCTAGGAAGAAGGGATTAAGCCACAAAGTATTTAATCAGTCTTTGAAACAGTCTTGATTTCCCAGAGGTTGATGCCAAATTCAGCCCTCATTGCTGGAGCCTGTAGGATGTGGGACTCCATAGTTCGTGTGATGGCCTCAAATACTATACACTATGCCAAATTGCATTAAACAATAGTGGGAAATTACTGGGATAAGGACTTGGGTCTAAAAGTTGAAGAACCAAAATATCCGTACTTAGGACTTTGGTTTGCCACATTTAAAGTGAAGTCTTGAGTGTAGTGAAGCCCAGAAGTAGACCCAATTATGCAATTATAAGGGCTGGAGAGAAGATGCTGCTAGGTTTGTTTTGTTTTAGCTGCCTGCTTTCGCCTTTTTCTTGTGTCTCTAATGTTTGATTAGTGATGACTTGAACATCTTGGCAACTGACAAAGGTCTTCAGTGGTGGACTCTAGCAGTATCTTGTTTAGAAAGGACTATTAATAGTACAGTATGTTGAGACTCACTTGAGGACATTCACATTGATCCTCAACTTACTCCATAATCTGTTTTTTGAATCTTATAGGGTGGTTCCCACTCACCCCTTTCAGAATTTATTCCTATAAACTGTAATTATAGCATATATCCAGTTTAATCTGGACTGGGGGCCGTGTTTTAGTGAGGATCTGCAGGTGTTTTTTTCTTACTGAAAGACAGACTTGAGCACTGGTTGCAGACACCAAGATGATTTATATAGCTTTGAGTAACCGTCAGGTACGGCGGCATCACATCCTCCCTATTCCTCTTGGAAACTAAGCCTGCTTTCATAGATACCTTTTTCCACCATGCACCTTCCCTTCTTTCAATATAATCTTGGATAATGCCAAAGGAAGCCATTCAACAGAAGCACACCTCCCCCCCACCCACCGCCCCTGCCATTTATTCTGGGGGAAGTGTCTTCCCTCTGACTCTGGTCCCCAGCCCCGAATCTGTAATAAACTCCTCTTACCTGTTGCACTAATGAATATAATTCTAGGTTTCAAAGGGGGAATTTGAAGCAATAGGCGAATGGGGCTTGGATGAATTGGTCCTACAGATACCCTGCCTTAACCCACTGAGGTGATGAGTCCACTACTCATGTGACCCTCCACCTTTGTGGATTCCTCTTGGTTTGTGACCAGTCTGTCTGTTTCTTGAGGTTGTACAAACTTGTTGACAAAGGTCAATACTTTTGTTTGTATTCTCTGCACTGTTGCACTCTCCAAATGGCCCCTTGAATATTTTTAACTTGTTACACACGTTTTGGTCTTTGTCTACATTTTTCTTTTGATGTTTTTGTTTTTTTATTTGAAAGGTTACCTGCTGTTGGATTTAATAAATTTGTTTACTTGACTGTTGACAATTGTGAGAGAGAAAAAAAAACAAAACCAGTGACTTAATTCTGGGGCAAGATTTACCCACCAGGAGCCTCTTCCAACGTGATATTGGATAGCAGTTTCTATGCTTTGGAAAATAATCCAGATGGTACAGGATCCTCAGACTTCAAACATGGATGTTGACTTCCCATTCACAAACTTAAAGGCCTTTGGGTCATAATACTTGTAGGCAAAAGGCAAATGAGTCCTCAGAGGGCCACTACTTAAATAGTCTTACCAGAACAACTGATTTGGATTCCCATGAGGAACAAAAAGTGAATTTGAGCACTGTGCTAATGGATGGCTCCTACATCAGGTTGGCAGTGATTAAGGCAAAGGAGACCAGCTGAAACTGTCAAGTGCCACTGCTGTGTGACCTTTGGCAAGTTAGTGAAATTCTGAGTTTCCTTATACTCATCTGTAAACTCAAGAGACTATTTCCATCAGAGTGTTAGGATTTAAAAGAGTCTTTATAAAAAGCACCTAAATCACGTAAGTTTAAGGTTTCCAAAAGGATGTCAGGTGAGTAATGGCAAGGAATCCAGAGAAGAGGAGATGGGGGGGTTGGCATGATCACACATGACCTTTCACAAGTCACTACCCCTCCTGGGGGCTTAACGTTCCTCTGTGCCAAATTGGGGGGTGGGGGGATGGGAGTGCTTAGACTAACGTGATCCCTGATGGCTCTCTTTGGCTCATACATCCTAGAAGTCTGATTATGGTAGACCAGTTATGACCCTTAGCTTCCTTTCATTGTATTTTCTGTCTTGTTATTGTTTGTATTCAGGAAAGCTATTGGCCAGCCATCTTACTCACTTCTTTGATGGAGGCCCTAATGACCTTCCTAAAGACTTCCAGCCTCATGTTGGTATCTCCTAAAAATAAGTAAGTACAGTGGTGGGACTAGATGTGCTTTTGTTTTTCCTTTCAGTTGGAAAGGATTTGGGAGTCATGGCTACATCCTCTAGCTAGGGACAGGGTTATAGGGTTTCCTCAATGAACTGGAATTTTTTTTCTTCTCTTACCCTTATTACCAAGGTTAGCATCAGATGGAGGCTGGAAGGAAACCTAGGGGAGGAGTGGTGACTTTTTTCCCCTCACTTAAAGTGCATCTCCAAAACATGTACTTATTCCCCAATTGGCTCTTGGGCTTGTGTCTGCTGTGCTTTGGCCTTTCTGAGGTATTGAGCCCAGCCAGGGCCTTAACAAACAGAGGTTTGGAGAATTACACAGTGAAAGATACTGATTTGGGTGCTTATATAGAGCCTGGAGCTATTCAAAGTGTTGTTATGGTGCTATACAGCTGTATAGATAATATAGGGCTAAAATCCAATTTATTTTTTGATGAGGGGCAAGCAACTTCTTCACACCAGAGATGAGCTTAACTCTGCATATAGAATGGACAGTTCGTAGCAAGAGAGATAGAACAGAAGGTAGTGCTAAGGGTCCAGAGACGTACAGAAGAGTCACCCTAGCACTGGCCTCTTCTCTCTTCTCAAATCCAGTTGCCAAAAGCACATGGCTGGGTTGCCTCTAGAAGTCCTCTCTTAGCTCTGGGTTTTGATCTAGGCTCAAAAGGGTTAGTCTGCCTGGAAAGGAAAGGTAAGGGAGCCAGCCCAACTTCTCCCATTTCCTTTCCTTTGCTATGACTTCTCAGGAGGCCCTGTCTTTTGAAAGCCATAAGGCTCTTATCTGGGCTTAATATTCTTCCTATGTAATGTTCCAACCTTGATTCTCTTGCCTTAGGGGTGCTGAAAAAGTCCTAGTGAAATATGGCAGCAGTGCAGTCAACAACAAAGCATCTGACTGTAGTGTTGTATAATCCATGCTGATGGGGACTCTCCATGGCCCTGTGTTTATCTGGGGTGGTGCTGCTGAAATTGCTAGTATGTTAAAATATAGAGCTACAAAATGGTAAGGCACCTTTTGTAAGAAAAGACAGAAGAAAACAGTGACACAGGCTCTTGCATACATGGCCTTACATAGTAAAGGACACATCTTCCGTGATTGGGTAAGTAGAGATAGATAAATGGGTAAAATCTAAATATTTGGGGAAAAGTTGTCACATGCCAAAATAAATTACAGGAAGAATAAAAGTAAAAGTGTAAAAATTAAATTATTTAAAAAAATACATATACACACACACTTGTCAGTGGCTATTAATCTCTGAATCAAGACTTTCTAAATACAAGAGCAAATAGAACAAATCATAAAAGACTTCTAAAACTATCTTTAAAAAGTAGAAACATTTTTACAATAATAAACCAATGGGACACTGTACTTAATCCATAGGGAGACCTTAAAGAAAAACAACTGGCCAAAAAGCTTCTGAAAAAAATAGATGTAAATCTACAGGATATTCAAATAAATAGAAATTAAAGCTGTACTGAAAAGTTTTTTTTTTTTAATTTTTATTTTAACCTATCAAACTGGCAAGATTTGAAACAAATCCATGTTAGTAAACACAAGGTAAGAGCTTATATGGAATTAAAAAAAAAAAAAACCTTAAGTGTCCATACTCTTTAACCCAATAATTTCACTTCTAGGAACGTTTCCTCAAGAAATATTATCTGTCAAAGATGTTGTGCAAGGATATAATTGGTAGCATCAGTTGGGAACAACTTCAGTGTCAACAATAGGGGGCAGTTTTAGAAATTATGGCACATATCAACATGTTGGAATATTATGCAGCTGTTAAAATCTCTGCTTTTAAATAATGGAAAAAGTATGATAGACTAAAATAGGGGCAGTTGTTGACTCTAAGTGGTGGGAACAGATGTGACTAACTTTTCTGGATTTTCCAAGTTGCCATTAATTGGTCCTCTTTATAATAGGGAAGAGGTTTTTTACAAAAAGGGGGACAAAAGGAAATTGCACATGGCTAAGTGTCCTGAATAATTCTATGGGTGAGGAGGTTAGAAATTTGGGAGTAATATGTTCAAAGCCTAAACCAAGAGTTCTGTAAAAACTCTTGGGAGTTGCTTTTTTCCCCCCACAAACGAGAAGCTGCTTCTCCAGCAGCTGCCTTGGCAGCTCTGCATTGGCTGCCTAGAAGGGTGTGGGAGGAAAAATGCACAAATGCACTTATGAATGGAATGTGTGTTTTGCAAGAGGCCAAGTTGGCAGCTTTGGCTTCCAAAAGGTGGGAGCATCAGCTGAAAGAACAGAGTGTGCAGACTTGAGGCCTCAGAGACCTTATGGTCTAGGCCCAACTCTGCCGAGTTCTGGAGTTGGGGGCCCACTGGGAAACCTCCCATCCAGGAGAAGGAAATGATCTTGGCTATTCCTAGGAGCAAAGGCAGTGCTCTTGGCACATGGAGCTTCATCTGTTCTGTGATCCCACACTTGGAAAATGTTTCTCAGTAACATGTCATTTATTGAAGACTTAATGTGGGTTTTCCCTAATTTAATCCTCATAACAACCTTATTATGTTAGGTACTAATGTCCCCATTTTAAAGGTGAGGTAACTGAGGCTCAGAGAGGGAAAGTTATATATAGCCCACTATTCTGTCATTTTCCACAAGCTGGATCTTTGAATTTTCACAATAATCCTTAAAAAGATATGGCCTCATTTTATAAACTGTGGAACTCTACTCAGATGAGATTAAGTGGCTTGCCCAGAAGCAGAGGTTTGTCCATATCCAAAGGCAGACACTTAATTTGTCTCAGGACTGGAGTCTCAAAAAGTAAACAGCAGTTAAGCTTCTATAGCTTTGGAGCTCAGCTGGAGGTGGAGAAAGAATCCAGAAGCATTGTCAACTTCAAGATGGTCTCAGGGCCTCACAGTACACCTGGAGAGTTTTCCTCTTTACAAGGGAGCTTTATGTGTTGTGTCTCCATCCTAAATCAAAGCTCTTAAGTTCTGGCTCCTGGTTCCCAAGTTTTACAGAGGGCCAGCTCTTAACAGAAGTTAAAGGATTAAACACTGCCTTATATGCCCAACCTTGAGAGGTAATTTAAGTATTGTTGTTGTGAGAGTAATATATGGTAATTTAAAACCAAACACAGAAAAGCAATTGGTAAAACCTAATCTTCCGGGGCGCCTGGGTGGCGCAGTCGGTTAAGCGTCCGACTTCAGCCAGGTCACGATCTCGCGGTCCGTGAGTTCGAGCCCCGCGTCGGGCTCTGGGCTGATGGCTCGGAGCCT